TACGAACTGCACGATCTGGAAATCCGTCACCACCCTCTTCCACCGGGGGCGGGACCCCAAGGCGGTGCAGAAGTAGTACCAGTACATGACCACGTGCACGAGCGCCACCGGGAACAGGTTGGGTTCGGTGTTGCTGATTGTGGGGCTTAGCTCACAGCAATCTCCATATCGTGAAAACCCCAAAACCAACAAAACAGCACCAGTGTTCAATTTCTAGAACCACCACCCAACTACTCAAAACAGTTTACAAACAGATAAAACTGGGCAGCGCATTCTCAATTAACCATCCTTCGACTGAGAGCTTAATCAATCAAAATTCATTTGAATGAGGAGCGAGGGAAGCTGAATTGTATCCGGCCATACCTTTTGTGTTTTCAACAGAAACAGATACTCGCCGATCCTGAAGACCACCGATTCAGGGGAATCGCAGAACAAAGGAAGGGACACAGAAAAGCGAGAGCGACTTTTCCTACCACAGCAACTTCTCTCTACTGCCATCCATGAAGGTACGGCTGACCAGATCCTCCATGTGGGAAACCCTACGGTCTAAGGTTCAGTTAAGCATAATAAGAATCATCATGGAAACCCTAATTATTTGTTATATATTTACAAGCAGGTATTATATGAAGCCTGTAACATTATTGACGCATATACTCACTCTTCACCGGAACGTGGTTCCAAGTCGGAGCTCGAGTCCGAGTCCGAGTCCGAGTCAGGCACCACCACCGGATCAACTCCTGCGGTCTGCTCTAGCTCAACCATTTCCGGTTTTCGGGATTTCTCGTTTTGGGGATTTCCGAATTCTTCTTCTTCTTCTTCTTTTTATACATGCCGGTCTAGCTAGTTCATAGCGCTTTCGCAAATTTTGGAAAGGCCCATTTCCCTTTTCTGTAGACTAAATAGAAAATATTGAAATAAAAGCCCAGCCCATCTTCGCTGCAATACATAACGGGCCTAGATCCTATCACTACATACCCGACACGATCACACAGCAATTCCATTTCCTTAACACTCTCGGATTATCTTGGAACCTCATTACCACAGAATACCGATCCATCCATCGCCACCAGTAATCCAGCATACCATTGATAAATTAGTCCAAACAGATGCATTTCAATTCCACAGCAAGGAAGGGAACCATGAACCAACATGGTGGTTGTCGTTGTAGCATTCCATAGCTTCTTGTGCAGTCTAGGTAGTTTGACGTTTCGATTTTTGCACGAGTAGTTCTGAAGCCTCTTCCTCGAAAGAAGACGTTCTGCGTACAATACAATTTTCCCGTGATGAGATGAGTAGGATTCGAATCAGACCGACCCATATCTATTGTCATCTCTTCGTCCAGTAGTAGCGGTTTTGTTATTATTACTATAAGTTAATTATTATGATATTGTGTTTCGCAGTTAATAATTGGAATGGTTATCAACTATGCTTAAGTTATTAACTCATACACGAACGAGGTACATATTGATATATATAATAAAAAATCTAAATCTTTCTACTTCGACGATGAGTTATTAACTCATAACGGGGCACAGCAGGCTCGTTGTCCGAGAGAGATTACTGCTTTTGGGATTTTTTTTTTTATAACACTGCTTTAGGGATTTGATCAGTCGTGTCTCCAAATCTTTTTCTCTTGCGAATTTCTATCTTGAGATGTGGGAGCACACAACAGCCACACAAAAACACATTTAAGCACGAGAAAATGGACATACTAATCAAAGTTTACTATCCCTTGTTTCATTTCAGGGGAAACAAATGAGCAGTAAGTAGCATCTGTTGTGTTCTTAATCGTTACAGCTCTTTCTATATCCTTCCCACGACAAAATTTTCTAATCAGAACCCAATATGCACCGCCATACTTTTGTTAGCATATGTATATATGTGGTAAAAGTGGGAACTCAATAACAAAGAGTTAATACTATGGTTTCTACATCCCCAAAACACTACACCAAGTAGCTCTGTTCCCACCAATTCCTAGTCCCCCACTTCTCTACCTAAATCCGTGCCTGCCCTGCAAATGGAGAAACAAGGCAATATCAGAACTAATACAACTGCATAACAGAAGATGTAAGGTTAATGCCTTGTATTGAACAAGTAGGAGACGAGCAAGAAGTTGAAATGGATGGAAACATTCCCAACCAGGAAGCACTAGAGACAGATTCACAAGCACAAGTCACCACAACAAATGTGGTAACATCATATGGGAAACATGAGTAACATGCAAGGGATTCAAAAGTTTCAGCCAAAGTGTTATGGGAAGGTTGTCAAGATGAAGTATGTGATTTATATTAACAAAATAAGATTGAAGCAATTGAAGGTCCAACAAAAGTCGCAGCAGTTGGTCTAACCTTGTCAGCTCTAGTAGTCAGTTCACAAAAGAATGGATATAGTAAAGTTGAAGGGGACTAATGTAGTTAAATGTGAAGATGAGTTATGTGGGTCTAAAGCAGATGAAGAAGTTGTAGTATCTGACAAAGAAGCAACATGAGAACAATATGTGACTTGAAGTAAGATTCTTAGCCAATAATGTTGCTGATTAAACTAGCTGTTATGCATGGGAAGAGCAATCATATTTACTTGGGCAGCTTTGAAAGACAAAGAAGCAAAACTTGAAGTGAGTTTCTTAGCCAATAATGTTGCTGATTAAACTAGCTGTTATGTGGATATAAACTGAAGGCTGAAGTATTTCAGTTTAGGGAAGGATATTGTTCACAAGAAGCTGTTATGAGTCATTCAAAGTAAACCACGTACCAGTTTAGCGACCAACTAATCAATATTCTACTCTTTAGGTGCCTGCAGCAAAAAGAGATATACATATTTGTATATATCATCCTCCAAAATTTATATGAATATGACAGCAAAATTAACAAACCGTGCTTACCCAAGCTAGTTTCGTAGTCATAACATACTTGAGCGCCTCCAAGTCTATTATCTTGAATCCTTCATCGCCGAAGCTTGTCCCCTGATTGTCTTGGGCAAGGAAGCACTCCCTGCCATCAATTTTCTTGTACCCCATGAGACACAAAGCATGAAGGCTGGTCGGAACTTTTGAGGCATCATGGTGCGGCTTTGGGTGTGGTTTCCTTTTCTTTTCCTCTCCCTCTTGCTCCTGCTCTTCCCCATTCCCTTTCTCCTCATCAGAAGCTGTTTCATAGGGGTCGGGGACTGGCTGAAGGCCAAGGCGAGCAACATCTTCAGCCTCGAGTGGACGTCCTATGCCTCGAACAATTGTGTCAGGAAAGGTATAGTCCAACTTCAATTCTATAACACCAATGACAGGGCCTTTGTTCTGAATTGACAGCTTCAACAACCTGAGATCTTCATCATTCTCGATTTTACACTTCCTATACTTTGACAGGAAGAATTGGACTGGGTACACGCTATCAGCTAGCGGGAGTGGAGCTCGGCTGTCCAAGAAATGCTTTAGAGCTGAAGCCCGCGTGTCTTTAGCTTCCTGAATCCAGTTCCCTTCCATTTGTCGAAGCCTTTTCGCTGAGAATCGAGTGGTGAATGGATGTCCACCCGGCTTTCCACCAGCAATTCTGGCCCTTGCGTCCAAACAGTCGCAGAGAGCGCGGTAGAAGCAAGTGTCTGGAGAGAAAAACGGGAGAAAAGAAGATAACTATTACAGACCATATAAACAAATAACCAACACACAAACAACCGCATTTCCCACTAATTACGCTCGGTAAACCCGCTATAATACTACTAATTAATATATGCATCTCGTTAACAAGCTCCAGTTAATAGAAAGCCCAAACAAACACTTACTATCCTTGTTTGTTCTGACGGGTGACAGAACAGAATGGTCAGCGATGGCGCTGTCACCGCCAACCTTGGCTCCTCTCCTAGTTACTTCCTCTTGCGGCACCGGCTTCGGCTTCTCCTCCGCATTCCTTTTCCCCGTCATTTTCTTCTTCGATCGAGTGAGAGGGGAATTCTAGGGTTTGAGGAGGATATCGGCGGAACTCGGAGCTCACTGATTTGTGGTTTTCGTTTATGGTGCGGTTGCGGCTGAGAGTTACGGGAAGCTCCTGGTACTGATTTCCATCTCTGCAGTCTTTCCTCTCCTTTCCCGCGGGTTTTCTTCTCTTGACCTAGGAATGATGTGTATTTGCTTTAGGTCAGTCCGGTTCGCGGATCAGTTGGCGGCCCCCAATGTGAGATCAGTTTTTGAAGATGGAAAGCTCCATCGATCTCAATCGAGAAGTGGAAGCTGTGTGCAGCAGAATGGAGAGGACCAACAGCAGACAGCAGCTGCAGAGTGCAGACTATAACACTGAACACGTTGTATGGAAGTCGTTTCTTCTCCAAATAGTCTCGCCTATCCAATACGGCGCCGCACTGCTTTTTTTTTTTTTTTTTTTTTCTAGCTCCTTTACATGATTGCATTTGTTTCTGGCCAAAAGCCCAAAAGTTTCAAGATTCGGGTAAGTTTCTTCTTTTGATTTCTTCCGCCCTTACTACAGAGAACCAGAGTATATCGTGAGGTTTTTTCACACTTAGTCTCTGATGCCTCCACAAAGGGAGGTCTTGTAGTGGACATCACAGCCATCTATTCATTTCCCAGAATCTAAACATTTACACAGAACTTCTTCCTATCATCTACAACACCACCACCAGCATTTCTCAAGTGAACCGGCTCTTTTTTCCAAAATCAAATGTACTTCTTTAGCCGCCCGGTGGCAGAATCGAATAGCCTGCCCTGTACAACAGTACCATAGCGTTCCTTCTCCTTCAGGCGGGTTGGAGTTCTCATAATCTGCTCCAAACATGTCTCTTCCTCTTTCCTAACCCCAACTTCCATTTGGCTGGTATACATTCTAGTCTTCTGCAGAGCCTCTTGCAACAACAATTTGTCTCATCATCAGAATGGGCTCATGTCTACGCAGTCGTTGTGACCTGAAGATCGGTTGCACTCTTCAGTTCAACCATCCATGGCTCATTCGACTGCATGCAGCTGCTCAGGATAACGGAGCTTATGTCAACGATTAATACCATCAAGCTCGTCTCTCGAGCTCCGGCCTCTCCTCCAAGCAGTCACTGTTTCCACCAACAACAGTGAACACATCTCCAACGCGCCTCTCGAGGAGAAACCCATGCTTGCAACTAGAGTCACAATCGAAGATGGGTTGGCCATGCTTATCGATGTTGATGAGCAGCTGAGGCGTGCAGCTGCAGATTCTCCTTGAGGGCTTAGGAACTGCGCTTCAGCTCGTGGATACTATCAGTCAGAGTCCTGGAAATAATAGTTACCGGCCCTGCTTCAAAGGATGATCTTGTGTTCTTGAGTTCGGTAGATTTACCGAAGGTTAGATAACTCATCACAAAGTTCCTTCAGCTTCCAATCCCTGGTAGCAAGCTCCTGTGAATTGTGTGCGTGGTGCTTCTCCAGCGTTTCATATTTTTGTTTGGTTCTGTGCCTCCGATCAGCAAGCAGCCAACACAAGCATCAACCTGACCCTCGGGTTGTTTCGAAGTCAGTCCTCGAGAGGGCAACTAAATTGGTAACAGACCTCGGGTGGATGCTTTTCTTCTCATTTTGATTGCTGAAATACGCTTAGTGAGGGTGGCTATGACTCCTTTACTTCTGAGTCTGGCTTTTGTAATAATTGAAACTTTGAGAGGCGTATAGAGCACACTGTAACAAAATGCCACCCTACTATCTAAAAAGCTGCTACTGATTATACCTGAACCTGCTGCTGCACAAATCTGAAGTTGAAAACTCAAAAGGGGATCCAAAGTCGCCAATTTGCTATGCCAGAAGAGAATCACTCTTACAAAAATGTAAAAAGTGTGAGTACATTCTACATGCTGCTTCAAGTAAAATACATGAAATCAAGCGAATGCGAGCTTAGCACCCAAAGGCCCTGACTAACCAAAAACATAACCGAGCGCAATAATCCTTCCAAGTCGTCGCAGATTGCAGACAGGAGCAAACCTCAATCATCTACCAAATTAGAATGAAATGACACTTGAAATGGACATAATCGAAAATTAGAAGGACTAAGTAATCCCCGTCACATTAATAATTTTCAACACACACCAATGCTCATTGCCGCCGCCAGTCAAATCTACCAGATTTAGTTGAGCACTTGGTCGAACATGTAGCAGCCATATCAGTTGTTATCGAGCAGATTATGGTGTTCCTAACTGGGCATATCAAGCAATCAACAATCAGTTTTATCATTCGAGAAACAGGCTATGAGCTTCCTTGCTTATTCCACTAAAATCTCTTCACTGGGAAATTCTCAGTAAATATCTCAACGGGCGCAAATACTTGTAGTTTCCATACTAATTCTCAACGGCATGCACGTTGGAGTAGACGGCTTGGCCCATTGGTTCAGACCGTCAGCATATCCCCAGTTAAACTTCCTTATTAACTTGTACCAGTTCATTGAATTACTGGCCCTATATACTCCAACCTCTCAACATAAAACAGGAAAACAAAGCAGCAAGAAGCAGAACGAAGAGATGCCATTATCAAATGCTCAAAAAGGTATAAAAGAAAAAACTAGCCACACACAGAGACGCCATGTCTACAATATATAGGGGACTACTGCACCCCTGGTTTTTCTGCCTTTTATCTTTTGATAACAAGCTCAAAAGTATCATATATGGCGCAAAAGAGTGACTTGCTTTGCGGCTAGCTAGCTTGAAAACCATCACACGTATGTCTTGTCTCCGCATTAATTAAACTACTACTACAACTATGCTTAAGTTATAAACCGTTATTAGTACTACTACAACAACTACACTGAAGTTATAAATGCATAAACAAAAACAACGTGATACATATAAATATGCACAATCACAATTCTAAATTTTTCTACTTCGAAGATGAGGAGGAACCAAACAGGGCACGTCATATTCTTCGTCTGAGGAGGTCAATATGTCATCGTGGCAGTTGAGACCTTTCTTACAATTACGCTTACCAAACTCCAACTGCTCCTCGGGAGGATGGTAGAAAGGTTGCTTGGTGAACGTCGAACAATAGTGGCAACCAATTTTGGGGGGAACTGCATGCATGCAACAAAATCATCACCTTTAAGCATCTATCTATCTATCTATCAGCAAGTTCACATACACCCCACGATGAATGCAACAAGATAGTTAGTTAAATGTAAAGTGCATCATCTCAAACCAACAGCAGCTAGCAAACCAATTAATTAAGCACAGAAACTACTCGGTATGTACAATTACCAGGTCCAGAAGGATCTATGATGACGCAAGAATGTACAGTGAGCTTCATCCCCTGGCCCTCGTATAGGGCTGTCTCAGCAAAGAACAGTTCAGTTTTAGGAGGTGTTGGAGGGGTGCTTTCGATGGGGATAGAGGACGAGGACGAGGAGCCACTATCATTATTGACAATGACCATCTTAGGAGTAGGAGGAGTCCTCTCCATGGAGGAGGAGGAGGACCCATCGTTATTATCGATGACGACCGTCTTAGGAGTGGGAGGGCTGCTTTCCATGGAGGAGGAGGAGGACGAGACGAGATTCGTAGCAGTGAACATGGAGTGGGTGAACATTCCAGAAGGAATAAGAACATCATTGATGAGTATGAAATCCACAAGCACGTACTCTACACCCTGATCATCCATCCAGAGCCAAAAAAACCAATAAAGTAGTCAACCAATGCATGAAATCCAATGCAAGTGATGAGAATCATTAACTAATGAGATAAGTAGAGGAATTAATTAAAACCAACCTGGTGGTTGTAGTTGTAGTGCTTCAGAGCTTCTTCCGCAACCGAGGCAATTTGCTGTTTGTGACGCTGTGCAACGACATCTGGATCCTCCTCGGAGGAGGAGGAATAATCCATCCTACGTAATACATATGTAAATCATCATCACCATCATGAAATCAAAGCAAATAAAGAAACCAAACCTGACAAATTAAAGAGGAAATTAATCAAGCAAAACCCACTTAGAATTGGAAGAAACAGCCCAACACCCGCCACCCAAATTACTTACGCACCAACAAATCTGTAAGCTAGCTAGCTAGCTGACTGAAGCCTATAAAACATGGAATAATAATCGAACCGACAACGGATTATGCCCTAGACCATACATCAGCCGTTGTCGGTCTGTTTAATTTGACACATGTGCAGAGACATATCAAAACAGACGACAGATTGAGAAGATTAATCTTCAATTAGGCATAATAATCATGGAAACCCTAGTTCTTATATATTTCAAAGCAGGTATGAAGCCAAGATCATTGACGCATATACTTACTCTTCACCGGAACGCGGTTCCAAATCGGAGGCCGAGTCGGAGTCCGAGTCCGCCTCCTGAACAGACACCACCGCCGGATCAACTCCTTCGATCTTTTGCTTCTTCAACATTTCTGATTTAGCCATTTAGGGGTTCTAAGTTCTAACACTATGGCTTCGCTGTGAACGGTGAGGCCGAATTCTTATTCTTCTAGTTATATATGCCGGTCTAGCTAGTTCTTAGGGCTTTCGGAAATTTTGAGAGCCCATTTTCCTTTTCCGAATACAAAACATATTGAAACAAAAAGCCCAGTCCATCGTCGCTGCAACGGGCCCAGATCCTATCACTACATAGACAACCCGAGCATTTTTCAATTCCTTAATAATATCGGATTAGCTTGGAAGGAGACATCATATAGCATTAGAGAGCTTCTTTTCCGGTCCAAGTAGGTACTTCATAAGTCCCTTCTTCAGAAGATACATCATATCATATGTACAATACAATTTTCCTGTAATGAGATGATTAAGGGTCGAATCAGACTGACCCATGATCTAGCCCACGACCGATATCTATTGTCCAGTAGTAGCGGACTAGCGGTAGAGTAGAAATAATGTGCTTTAAAGGTTTTGATATTATTCTTATTGTTAGTCAATTATTATGATATTGTGTTGTGGTTAATAATAGAAATGGTTATCAACTATGCTTAAGTTATAAACTCATACACAAACGAGATCCATATATAAATGCATACAATCGACAATCTAAATTTTTCTAATTCGGCAATTAAGAAGAAACTAACGGGGAACAATAGGCTACTCGTCCGAGGAAGAAGTCCAGTCGTCCTCTTCGTATTTGAGACCTTTGTCACAATCATGCTTACCAAACACTAACTGATCCTCAGGTGGATGGTAGAAAGGTTCCTTGGTGCACCTCGAACAATAGAAGCAACCTACATTGGAAGGAACTGCATGCACGCAACAAACATAATCTTCCTCATCATCTTTAAGCATCTATTCTATCTTCCTATCAGCAAGCAAATATATACCCTTAGCCTGAATGCAACTAGATAGCTAGTTCAAGAGTAAAGCTAGGGCATCATCATCTCAAACCAACATCATGGCTACCAAACCAATTAAGCACAGAGTAGATGTATAGTTGCCCGGTCTAGAAGGATTAATGATGACACAAGAATGAACAGTGAGCTTCATCACCTGGCCAGAGTACATTGTTGTCTCAGCAAAGAACAACTCCTCGGCAGCAGGAGTTGGAGGGCTGCTTTCCACTGCGGCGACGGAGGAGCCATCATCATTATGGACAGCAGCCATCTTAGGAGGAGTGGCAGAGCTGCTCTCCGTGGAGGAGGAGGCAGAGGAGGGGCCGACCTTCTTGGCCGTGAACAAGGAGTGGCAGAAAATCCCACATTGTGCAATTATAGCCTTGCTGCGAATGGGATCCACAAGCACGTATTCCACACCCTGATTCGTCATTCATCCATCGACCTAGTCCCAAAATTTCATCAAATTAGTCCCAGCCCAGATCGAGCATGATATTCAAACGCAATCCAAGGGAACCATCCATAATTGGGAATTAACTAAAACCAACCAACCTGGTGGGTGTCCTTATATTACTTCAGAGCTTCTTCTGCAATCCAGGTAGTTTGCTTTCTTGAGTGCTTAGCATGTACTTCTGGATCCTCCTCGAAAGAAGAAGAAGAAGAAGAAGAAGCAGGCATCCTACGCACAATCATACAATAATCAAGGAAACCCTAATTCTTATATATCGACGGAGGGCAAGAATTTTTACAAGAAGGTACATATATGAAGCCAATGTTGACATTAACGCATATACTCACTTGAGACCTGGTCGTGGTTCCAAATCAATATCAGAGTCTAATTCATCATCGGACAACACCACCACCGGTGGATCGACTCCTTCAATCTTTTGCTCCTTTTCCATTTTCGGTTTTGGGGGTTTTTCTAAAACGATGGTTTCGATTGAACGGCGGGAAGCTTTTCTTCTCCTTTAAGGGCTTCTGCAAATTTTGAAAAAGCTCGTTTTCTTTCCAAAAACAAAAGTCCAGTCCATCTTCGTTGCAATCTATAACGGGCCCAGATCCTACCACTAGATCACATTTCGTAGCCCTCTCGGATTAGCTTGGAACCTCATTTCTACTTGGTATCATTCTACTCTAATAGAAATATGGGGAAGAGATTGGCTATGAGAGTTTTTTTTTACTTGATGTTGTGTAGTATTTAGAGGGAGAGGTATTGGTTAATCTAGTTGGAAAAAGGATTATTGTTTCTGGGATTCATGTGGTGATGAGCCCTTAGTAGGGTCTCGTATGATCAAAGTAGCCCACCTTCGAATTGATTTGATTTCAACTCAAGCTTCCTCATGAACAAGATTCGTTTGGGTGTTTTGGGGTGGCAAGTTTCGTGCAACTTCTCACAAAGGGAAAGAGGCTCGAGAACTATAGATCGATGCTTGGCTACGATCAGGGTGATGAACTGATCGATACAAGCTCACGATTGCTTAGAATCCACCAAGCAATCCTATTCAATTCTTCAAGCAAACTAGCTAGATGAATCAAATCTCAACTTTGTATTTGAATGATAAAAAAAACTAACTATTACATAACAATCTTAGGTTTAAATAGACTATCTAACTTACAAACCAAGTAAAGAAAGTCCTAGTCACGATCCAACTCAAAAAGGAAAACAAGATCTAACTCAAAAATGAATTAAAATCAACACAGTGTGCAAATCCTACTCCGACTAGGATTTGGATTGGTCTTCTCCAACGCCAAAAACAGCTGTCTCGAGACGATCTATGGGTGATCCGTTCGAGCACTTCCAGGGCTCAATTCCATCATCCAATTCCACGTCGACGTAGAAGGAAACTTGTACCTTCATGGTCTTCAAACCCCGAGCTTCGTCTCTCATCCCATCTTCTCCACTGAAACTCCAAAAGTGCCCTTCTAAACTTGCTCCAACACTTGGACAGTTTTGTCAGTTTTTCCTGTGTTGAGCTAGCAACTTGATCGACCTGCAAATCAATCTTTTGAACTTCCTCTTGCACTTCAAATCATATCAATGGAGAGATAAACCCTTCGTCTTCAAAACAAGCCCTTGAAGTCGAATTTCGACCAAGCCAATAAAAAGTTGCAGGATTTGGGGTTTTCGATTTGACACATTTCCAGGCTAATTCACCGCCTGCACGAGCTTTGGAGAACTTCGAATTGCATTTCTGACCCCACCTTCCCTCTCAACTCTTCGCCATAATCGTCGAAGCGCCTTTTCCCAGTTTCCCGCCATCATCGGATTTTGAAAGCCCAAACCCAGAATTCTCAATCCCGAATTGGGCGTTTTTTTATCCATGCATCGCCATTCGAATTGGATCGTTCCTATAACTTCCTAGGACTATGTTTGATGATTATGCATCAACCGTTAGTGTCGAATCATTCACAATCGAGCCACCCAATAGACCTGATTTTTGCTCGTAGTTCCTTGTTTTTAGAGCAAATCGGGGTCGAATTGGATCCAGGAATCCATGCACATTCGACGTCGTCCAGTCTTTGATGAAGCTTCCCCTTGGATCATGGAACGTGTCAGTGCCTTTGGTTGGGTTCGTATTGCTCTCCAGAGCTCCACCCAATAGACCCTCCCTCTTGTTTTGCTCCGGCAAACCGTCACAAATTCGTTGAAGCCGAGGAGTCTTCTGCCTCTTGTAACCTGTGAGCATGAACCGGGGAGCTACAAAATTGACTTTGTTATGTTCCTCAACTCTTGTTCCACTAGATTCCCCATTTTGCCACCGTCGACTGGTCTCTAATTGACGTTGATCATCTCGAACTTCGGCCGGCAACAGAGGTTTCAGTACAAACTTCTGGTTTCTATGCCAAAATTTGTACCAATTGGTTCCACCGTTGTGACAAACCCCTCGATCCAATTTCCAATGTCGTCCTAGCAACAGGTGCGCAACTTACATCGGAGCTACGTCAAACTGAATCTCGTCTTCATATCATCCGATTGCAAACTTGATCTTAGCGTGTTTATTAACCTTGATAGCACCGTAATCGTTAAGCCAATGCAACGTGTAAGGTGCAGGGTGTTTGCTCGTGCTCAGCCCGAGTTTCTTGACGATGTCAGAGTTTACTACATTCGTATAGCTTCCCCCATCTATGACAAGAGAAAGCAATTTTTCATTGACGCTGCATCGTGAATGGAAGAGGTTTTCCCTCTGTTCCGAGTTTGAATGAAACTCAATGGTGAGTTCCCTTCGATTTACACCTAGGAGATGTCCCGGGGGAGGAGGCGTCTCCATTTCAACTTATTCATACACCTCTTCCTCCTCGCCTGAGTTCTTCTCTTTGTCGGTGAGGTACTCACCATCCCGGATTACTAGTGTCTTCAAATTGGGGCACTGATTTGCCTTGTGTCCCCTTCCATGACACTTAAAGCACTGGATTCCTCCAGTTCTTTCCACAATAGATGGGGCGATGTTCTTGGTTGGTGCCTTGTTGGGTTCAGTTCGCACTTGTGGAGGATTGAAATCGGAAGCCAGCTTTGTCACGGACTTGTTAGTCGAAGCAAACCTTATGTCCGTGGGTTTCTGTTGTTTTTCGATCTTCATTGCCAGGTGAAAAGCGTCCTCCAGATCGACAAATGATCAAGATCCACCTCCTGTCGAATCTCTCAATTGAAACCGTGAAGAAAACGAGCTATCGTCGCTTCCTGGTCCTCTCTTATGTCGGCACACATCATGAGCAACTCCAAATTTGTAAAACACTCTTCCACCGTCTGTGTACCTTTGTCGAATCTGCTGCAGAGACTCGTACAGTTCTCTCTGATAGTATCCAGGAACAAACCGGTCCCTTAGAAGACCTCAGAGGTCATACCAAGTTTCAATTTATGGCTGGAGGTTACGTCGCCGTCGCAATTGGACTTGCTCCCACCATTGAACAGCATAGTCCGTAAACTCATAGGTGGCCAAGAGCACCTTCTGCTGCTCAGAATAGTTCCCCAATTGAAAGAATAACATTACCTTTCGCTCTCAATCCAGGTAATGTGAAGCATTGAGAGATCCATCGAAGGGAGGAATGGTTAATTGGATGCCCGGAGGAATGGTAGGCTCTGCCTCTGGCCTCCGTTCCCTGTAATCAAGAAGATCGCGAATTGGCTGTCCAGGATTGGGATCCACAACCACCATCCTTTGTTCAATGTCCTGAATTCGTGCCAATAATTCTTGATTGGTGTCGTTGCGGATTAGTTCGCCAGCCTGGCGATTCCTTCATGCTCTGCCATATTATCCGGGGGAACAAGGTTAGGGATTTGCAAACGAAGCTCGGCCAGTTGCCGATTAACCTGCTCGAATTGAGTATGGAAATACCGTTGTAATCTTTCATCGTAACAAGTTGTTGAGGTTTCTTGTCTCCCATGGTTGTCTGCTTCTTCTTCTTCCTTTTTTCTAGAGTTAGCAGCGCAGGGTCACTAGAAATAGGGCCTTTCGATCTTGTCCAGTGTGTAATTCCGGCGACGTTTTCTATTTTTGTCGTCGTCTTTCTTGCCCTAGGTTTGAACCGGGCTCGTGATACCACTTGGTGAGCCCTAGGTAGGGTCTCGTATGATCAAAGTAGCACAGCTTTGAATTGATTTGATTTCAACTCAAGCTTCCTCACGAACATGATTCGTTTGGGTGTTTTGGGGTGGCAAGTTTCGTGTAACTTCTCACAAGGGAAAGAGGCTCGAGAATTATAGATCGATGCTTGGCCATGATCAGGGTGATGAATTGATCGATACAAGCTCATGATTGCTCAGAATCCACCAAGCAATCCTATTCAATTCAAGCAAACTAGCTAGATGAATCAAAGCAATCCTATTCAATTTTGTATTCGAATGATCCAAAAAACTAACTATTACATAATTCTTAGGTTTAAATAGACTATCTAACTTACAAACCAAGTAAAGAAAGTCCTAATCACGATCCAACTCAAAAAAGAAAACAAGATCTAACTCGAAAAGGAATTAAAATCAAAACAGTGTGCAAATCCTAATCCGACTAGCATTCAGATTGGTCTTCTCCAACGCCAGAAACAGCCGTCTCGAGACGATCTTTTGGTGATCCGTTCGAGCACTTCCAGGACTCAATTCCTTCATCCAAATCCAGGACAACCGCATTTTTGAGGTGAGGTCGTCAGAGTCACCCTCAGTTCCTCACCATCGGGGATGGCGACGTAGGAGGTATCTAGATCTGGATCTTTTTGCTGCATGCAGCAACAAGCTGCCTCGAGATCTTCTACTTCCCGTGCGTTCTTCGTCGGCAAATCCGCTGGAATCGAACAACCTCCATCTCTGAGGCGTATCCGGGAATCAGAGCTGGAATCAATGGGCTAGAGTCGATCGGAGAGAGACAGGAGAAGGGAAGAGATAGGGAGACGGATCAGGAAATATACAGGAAGAATGGAAGGCTATACTGCAACGAACGAGGAGTGATATGGGTTGGTATTTGGTAACAAATTGATTGGAAGAATGCAAAAAACTGGAATTGAAGAAGAAGCAAAATCACAATTGAAAGGGGGACTGGTACTGGCGCTAACCTCGCGGTGGGGTTTTTTTAGTTGGGTCAAGGGTTGGGGTTGATCTGGGTTTGCTTATCTGATGTGGCAGAAGGGTTTTTTTTTTTTTTTTGCTTAAAATTGGCCAACTCAGCATCTCTGTTAGCCACGTCAGTAGTTAACTGACGGCACTAACGGAGTCTGGTGAAGGTTAACGGAGAGCGACCGAACTTGGACTGTTCAACTAATTTAAGTGACTACAAATGGAATAAATCAATTCGAGTGATCAAACGTGAAATTTGTTAGCAATTCGAGTGACCAAACTTGTAATTTAGCCATATACATTATATATAATGCCACTTGTAGTTTGTTTTGTTTTGTATAGGGGCAGATAAGCATTGTT